CTGCATCCACTACACTGACACACTGCATCCACTACACTGACACACACTCTGCATTCATTATACTAACACACTCTACATTCACTACACTGACACACTCTACATTCACTACACTAACACACTGCATCCACTACACTGACACACTGCATCCACTACACTGACACACACTCTGCATCCACTACACTGACACACACTCTGCATTCACTACACTGACACACTCTGCATTCACTACACTAACACACTGCATCCACTACACTGACACACTCTGCATTCACTACACTAACACACTGCATCCACTACACTGACACACTGCATGCACTACACTGACACACACTCTGCATTCATTACACTAACACACTCTACATTCACTACACTGACACACTCTACATTCACTATACACTAACACACTGCATTCACTACACTAACACAATTAATCCACTACACTGACATACACTCTGCATTAGCTATTCACACAGCATCCACTACACCAATACCCTGTATTCACAGCCCAAGCACTACAACCACCACACATTCAAACACTCTGCATTCACTATACAGAGACACTGCATCTAATATACACACTACTACATCCACTAGAGACACTGCATCCACTAAACAAATTGCATCTAGTACACACAAGCACTACATGCACTACACAAAAACACACGACATCCACTACTCCAACACACTCTGTGTTCACTATACACACTGCATCCGCTACACAAACACACACTCTGCATTTACTGCACAAACAGTGTCTAATACACACTCGTGTGTGGGCCTGGATGGGGGCCCACACCTTGTGCTTTGTCTGATGGCAGCCCTGATTACAGGTAATGACTCCGGTGGATCCACCCACTAACTCAATAAAGTAGGAGTATATGTACACATTAGCTAATAAAAAAATGGAAACTAAATTTAAAATTTAAAATGACAAAATAGTAAAATATAGGGAAAAAGAAGAAAATAAAAGAATCAATCTAAAATGTATGAATATTAAGTCCACTTGCTAGCTATGATAGATATAGATGATCCTTAAAGATAATTATGAAAAATATCAAAAAGGAAAAGGCAACAAAATTGCTGAAAAGGTTGGATCTCACCCCTCTATTAATATCATCAGTTCTGATCAAATGGATAAGTCCATGGGGACACAGCAGGCAGTCACCTGCACCTTATTCTGAACCCAGGACTACTGCTGGACTCCAGCGACCTTCCAGGGATCATCCAGTGATTATCTCCAGCATTTATCCCGCATGAACTTATCTTTTTAATCATTACTGATGATCTTAATGGAGGGGTGAGATCCAACCTTTTCAGACATTTGACTATTATTTTTATATATTTTTCAATATTATCTATAAGGATCATCTATATCCATTCTAGCAAGTGGACTTTATATTCATAAATTTTAGAATTTTTACTTTTTGTCATTTTTTTATTAGCTAATACATATGCTCTTACTTTAATGAGATAGTGGGTTGATCCACCAGAGTCATTACCTGTGATTATTAACTTCTTTCTATGTATCACCTGTTGATTACTTACTGCTTTTTCGGATGAATTTCCAGTAGTTATACTACATGGGCTGTAGGTATAGATTGGTGATTTATGGGCTTTATAAGTGTACGTAGTAACTCAGTTTTTTTCCCCTTCCATTGTAATGAAAATATATGTTTGTCTTCCTTTTTGCACATATTCCAAATATACTTTTGTTGCATCATTTTGAGTGCAGTATTCCTTGAATTATAAAATTATCTGTTAGTCCACCTATTGTACAGTGCTATGGAATTTGCTGGAGTTATATAAATAATTAAATCATAATACTGAAATGGGAAGAAATGTTCCTGCCGAGCCCCAACCCATGGCGGCTGGTGAAGGCTCTAATAAAATATTTATGGGGGAGTAGACATGCCATTGTTTAGCCACCCTAATATGCCAATAATTAATATCCTTGGTGGCCATAGGTGCACAAATCGTTTCCCTCTTAGAATAACTTATCACTACCTACCCGCTCATCCTAAAAATTAGGTGGGTCAATAAACTGAATATATATATATAATATAAAAAATATATTTACTATCCATCTTCTTTCTTGTAAATCTTCTTTCTTCAGCCCCCAAAAAAGTAAAATGGGAATTCATAATACCATGACAAAACTATTAAAAAAAAAACCCCACCAGATTTGCGAAAAAATTAATGACAAAAATAAAACTCCAGATGCAACAAAATAGATGTTCAAAAATTAAATAAGAATTCCTATGTACAGACATAATCCTGGAAAATTAAGACATTTCAAAAGCAGAACAATTAAAAATCTTTTAAAATCAACATTGATGCCTTATACTGCAAAACATATAAAGGTTTTTATAGACTGTGGTCTGCTTGACATCTCATAAAATGACAATAGCATAAAGATAAAAACAAGTTTACTTGTTTACATAACAGGCAATCTTTCAAAACTAAAGACATTACATTTCTCCTGTATGTTCATGTATTATTCATTCAATATTTTAAATCATGTGTTACAACTGTGTACAAAAGTTGACGCCTGAAAATTCAATAATAATGTCTTTAATAAATTCCTGAATCTTAGTTCTGGGGTTGTACTGTACATTATTATTGCAATTATGGATTGCATGACTACTTTAATGTATAACTCAGAACAAAATGACCTTTTATTAATTGTTTAAAAATATTTTTAAAGTCCTTATTCTTCAGGGTGTAAAGAAGAGGATTCATCATTGGAATAAGTATAATATATAAAAGGGCAAAAAACTTGTCCTGTTGTGGAGAATACGTAGATGCTGGTCTCATATACAAACTGATCATTGTTCCATAAAATATAATAACACAAGTTATGTGGGAGGTGCAGGTAGAAAAAGCTTTATTTCGACCACTTGCTGATTGTATATTTAGGATAGTAGAAATAATAAACACATAAGATATCAACGTAAGTGTAAATGCACTGACACCCAGGACAGTCCCATAAATATATATACATAACTCAACAGGAAAAGTATCACTACAGGTAAGTTTTAGCAATGGAGTTATATCACAGAAAAAGTGGTCAATGTGGTGAGAATGACAGTATGAAAAGTTAGCAATTAAAACCATAAATGCTACAGGATCTAATAAACCCAAGACCCACACTGCAAATACAAGTCGAGCACAGAGCTTTGGACTCATAAGAATTAAGTAATGAAGAGAGTGACAGATTGCTACATAGCGATCATAAGACATGGCAGCCAATAATAAGACTTCTGCACCAGCAAAAGATAGGAAAAAATAAATCTGCATAAAGCATTCTAGAAAGGATATGGTCTTACACTGAGTGAGGAGCATAGCCAACAGTTTTGGTAGAATGGTCGAGGTGTATAAGATATCAATGACTGATAGATTACACAAGAAGATGTACATGGGTGTATGTAAAGGAGAGAACAAAACTATAGTTACAAAAATGATAAGATTACTGAAGACTATGATGAGATACACCGATAAAAATGTTATAAAAATAGGAAACTGTAGTTCTGGCGAGTCTGAAAAACCTTTCACGGTGAATTCATTTGGAGTGGACTCATTTTCTGACATAATATCCAGTCTCTAAGTCTACAAAGAAAGACACAACGCTGTTTAAAGTGGATCAGTTATTTGTGTCTCTTTTTCCTGTTAAATTCACCTATAGAAACTACTTGTATTTTGTGCTTGTAGATTTTTTCAAAACATTTATTATTTTTGAAGGCATTTCTAAGCTTCTGTTTTATGACTGTAGCTTTTCCTTGTGTTTTTGTTTTTTTTTAAGTAAACCACACCACAGCAAATTTAGTTTTTTACTTGCAATTTCTAAATATCTTTGCAATATAAGCCTCAAAAACCTCAATGAACTTCTCTTAAAAAACTCAATATTTTTGTCCATTATTATAGTTGTCATTTTTTCTTTTTCTTTATTTTATTTTAAGTTTTTTTTTTTTTTTTTTTAAATATTTTATTGGGTTTTTTATAGGTAATACAGGTTAGGTAGCACATATGAGATACACCAGAAATACATCGGAGACAGGGTAGTATCGCTACTGGTGAACAGTCAATCCATCAGGTAGATTACAGAATTGATGGTACAATTGCATTGCATTTACAGTACATTTGATACACTTGATACAGTTTGTGATACAGACTCTTCCGTTTACCCATGCTAACGTTGACATCGTCACAGTTTGCCATAGTTACTTATTGTCAGCATTAACGGTTTGGTGATGTCATAATCTTGTCATTATAGAGTGTGTTATCCTATCTCCTAACTCCCCAGTAATTGCGGTGCTATATGTGGATGATGTTAGAAAAAAAGGGAAGAAAGGGGGGTGGAGGAGAACTGGGTAGGGGGGGGGGAGATGGGGGGAAGGGAAGGGGAGGTGAGAAGGTCAGTCTTTTCCATTCCATTGTAGCATTCCTGCTTGAGGTTAGTCGTCAGTGTTGGTTGTAGTTTGTGTAATGAAGGCAGATTTTGAATACCAATCATCCCATAGTTGCCATGCTCTTTCCCAGAATTGTTTGGGGGGTCTTAATTTTCTGGCTTCTGTTTCGTATCTTTTGGTTGTGAGCAATGCATTCATACACTGCATTAGGTCTGGGGGTTGTATGTTGAGCCACTGTCTGCCAATAGCCGCTAAAGCGGCAACAATCACATGATATACTAGGTATTGCTCCGTTTTGTTGTAAGTGAGTGGTATTGTTTTTAGTAGGTATGTTTCAGGGGTGTGTGGAAGTGCCTTCCCTATTATCGCTGTGATCATGTTCCCTATATCCCTCCAAAATTTTTGGATTAGGGGACAAGTCCACCAAATGTGGAGCATTGTCCCTGTTTCTTTGAAGTATCTCCAGCACACCTGGAGTTTGGTCCTTCTTAGTTTGGTCCATTTTATGGAGTCTGTAGGGCACCATGTACCAGCGATAAAGTACTTTCCTGCAAGTTTCAATGTGGGCTGTATTGAGTGTGAGGTGTTTGTGCGCTCGTAGAACTCTTGGCCATATCTCATTGGGTATGATAGTTTTCATTTCTGCTTCCCATGCTGTCATAAACCTCAATTTCCCCACTCCAGCCCTTTTCGTGAGTATATTGTATAGAAGTGATAAACTTCTTTGTGGTGGCTTGGGTGCTAGACACACTCTCTCTAGTTCTGCTATAGTGTTATCATGTGAGTGTTTATTGTTTTGCCTAGCCCGCTTTGTCACCCATGAGCTCATCTGAAGGTATGAGAAATAGGATCGTGGGGGGAGGTGAAATTTCTGTTTCAAGGACTCGAAAGTCTCAATGGATTCCCCCTTCATCACGCTGGACAAGGAGGTAGCTCCCCGTGTGTGCCATAGGCCCCAATTAAAGCCAGGAATTAGAAGTGCCATAGCCTGGATTCGCAGTGCTGGGGATATGTATGGTGCAGGGCGATGTTTGTTTATTAGTTTGTCCCAAACTAGTGTCACGGTTCACGCCGTGACATCCAGTCTGCCAGACGTGGTCGCTCCGGAAGCGCCCGATAGGGGATTTGAACTGTGGTCCTTCTGGACCGTGTCCTGCTAGTTTCCCTCTGAGCCACTTCAGGACTTTGGATAACTCCTGTTTGTTCTTGTATTGCCTGCAGCACTAGGGGTCTGGACTTCACTTAAGGCTCTGATCTGTCAGTTACTCTCCAGCTGAATCTGATCCTAATTAACAGGATATAAAAGCCTGCCTCACCCTGGGAGGGGTGTCAGTTCATTGACTCTGGTTCCCTTGTTTGGTTCCTGTTACGCCGTACCTGCGTTCCAGTGATCCTTGTCTATTCCGGCTTCTGACCTTGGCTTTCCTCCTGGACTACTCTGACCTCTGGCTTCCCTGATTTTGGCTTCCCTTGACCACGCTTCTGCTTATCCCTGCTGTACTGAGTCTTGGAGCACTTTTCCTGGAAAGCACCCGTGCACAGACTCACAGGCCAGGTGGCGTCTTACCTGGTCACCCTGGTCTGTGTCTACTTTGCAAGGGTGAGCGTATAACTCTGCGAGCTGGACTCCCTATCAGGTAAGACTCACTTACAGATGAACTGACCAATGGAGTCTGCAGAGTTATACAAGTTACTCACCTCCCTGGCCGAGCAAGTCTCCAACCTGTCCCAGAATGTTACAGAATTGCAGAGACATTCATTGGCATTTAAAGGAGCAACGCTTCCAGTCCCGGAACATGTATGCCCAGAACCGTATGTCTTTATGCCTGACAGGTTCGACGGTTCCCGTTCTACTTTTCCGATGTTCAAGACGGATTGTGAGCTACTATTTGCCCTGAAATCGAGAACCTACGCCACCGACTTTATCAAAGTACGCTCCGCTATTAACCTATGTACCGGGCGAATTAAGGCGTGGGCACACCAGAAGCTACAGGAGAGAAGTACTGTCTTGGACTCCTGGGAGTTGTTTATGTCCGCAATGGATTCTCAGTGTTTTACAGCAAGAAAAGCAACTCCCAAGCCTATTTCTGGTCCTCGCAGAACCCGGTTGCCTAGAGAAGAGGAATTATTTTCTGGATACAAAAATCCCATTTTGTTGCAGCATGAACCCACTTTCAGGGACCCGCCTTGTAACCCTGTTTACACTCGAGCTAGCAGTGAAACTCCAGTCGACATGGAGGAACCCATGGAGATTGGCTTCACCAGAACTAGATTGCCCCCGAAGGAAAAAGACCGCAGGAGAGCCCATGGTCTATGTCTATACTGTGGGAAAAGAGGGCATTTCATATCGCTCTGCCCGACTCGTCCACTTAGGACAAGACCCCTTCTGTCTGGTGCCATATGGACTTACCCTGTCATCCCAGCAAGACAGCCTGGACACTGCCAGCCCTGTCCCCGTCCTGTGACACAAAAGGGTACCCAAACTACTACAGTTAATGTTACCAGTACCCCTGTGGAATCTCCACCTCCTGCTCCAGAAACAGTTGGACCTCTTCCTGATGACACTTCTGTTCAAGCAAGCACCATCACCACTTCCTGCCTTGCCAAAACAGTTCTGCCACCTGACTGCACCTATGCCTCAAATGGCACAGTTGTGTGCAAACAGGATTTAGAAGTCTTCGAAAAAGCTTTGAAAGCTGCAAATGCCTCCCCTATAGCACCCGAAACTGGTACCCTAAAATCCCAAGTCGTAAAAGGATACCTTAATTATAAAGACTATCTTAGCGATACTGAGACCGAAGATGAGGAGTACCATTTCCAGGAAGAGCCTGTTCACGCCCGGAGGGCGTTCTTGACGGGGGGGTACTGTCACGGTTCACGCCGTGACATCCAGTCTGCCAGACGTGGTCGCTCCGGAAGCGCCCGATAGGGGATTTGAACTGTGGTCCTTCTGGACCGTGTCCTGCTAGTTTCCCTCTGAGCCATTTCAGGACTTTGGATAACTCCTGTTTATTCTTGTATTGCCTGCAGCACTAGGGGGCTGGACTTCACCAAAGGCTCTGATCTGTCAGTAACTCTCCAGCTGAATCTGATCCTAATTAACAGGATATAAAAGCCTGCCTCACCCTGGGAGGGGTGTCAGTTCATTGACTCTGGTTCCCTTGTTTGGTTCCTGTTACTCCGTACCTGCGTTCCAGTGATTCTTGTCTATTCCGGCTTCTGACCTTGGCTTTCCTCCTGGACTACTCTGACCTCTGGCTTCCCTGATTTTGGCTTCCCTTGACCACGCTTCTGCTAATCCCTGCTGTACTGAGTCTTGGAGCACTTTTCCTGGAAAGCCCCTGTGCACAGACTCACAGGCCAGGTGGCGTCTTACCTGGTCACCCTGGTCTGTGTCTACTTTGCAAGGGTGAGCGTATAACTCTGCGAGCTGGACTCCCTATCAGGTAAGACTCCGTTACAGATGAACTGACCAATGGAGTCCGCAGAGTTATACAAATTACTCACCTCCCTGGCCGAGCAAGTCTCCAACCTGTCCCAGAATGTTACAGAATTGCAGAGACATTCATTGGCATTTAAAGGAGCAACGCTTCCAGTCCCGGAACATGTATGCCCAGAACCGTATGTCTTTATGCCTGACAGGTTCGACGGTTCCCGTTCTACTTTTCCGATGTTCAAGACGGATTGTGAGCTACTGTTTGCCCTGAAATCAAGAACCTACGCCACCGACTTTATCAAAGTACGCTCCGCTATTAACCTATGTATCGGGCGGATTAAGGCGTGGGCACACCAGAAGCTACAGGAGAGAAGTACTGTCTTGGACTCCTGGGAGTTGTTTATGTCTGCAATGGATTCTCAGTGTTTTACAGCAAGAAAAGCAACTTCCAAGCCTATTTCTTGTCCTCGCAGAACCCGGTTGCCTAGAGAAGAGGAATTATTTTATGGATACAAAAATCCCATTTTGTTGCAGCATGAACCCACTTTCAGGGACCCGCCTTGTAACCCTGTTTACACTCGCGCTAGCAGTGAAACTCCAGTCGACATGGAGGAACCCATGGAGATTGGCTTCACCAGAACTAGATTGCCCCCGAAGGAAAAAGACCGCAGGAGAGCCCATGGTCTATGTCTATACTGTGGGAAAAGAGGGCATTTCATATCGCTCTGCCCGACTCGTCCACCTAGGACAAGACCCCTTCTGTCTGGTGCCATATGGACTTACCCTGTCATCCCAGCAAGACAGCCTGGACACTGCCAGCCCTGTCCCCGTCCTGTGACACAAAAGGGTACCCAAACACTACAGTTAATGTTACCAGTACCCCTGTGGAATCTCCACCTCCTGCTCCAGAAACAGTTGGACCTCTTCCTGATGACACTTCTGTTCAAGCAAGCACCATCACCACTTCCTGCCTTGCCAAAACAGTTCTGCCTCCTGACTGCACCTATGCCTCAAATGGCACAGTTGTGTGCAAACAGGATCTAGAAGTATTCGAAAAAGCTTTGAAAGCTGCAAATGCCTCCCCTATAGCACCCGAAACTGGTACCCTAAAATCCCAGGTCGTAAAAGGATACCTTAATTATAAAGACTATCTTAGCGATACTGAGACCGAAGATGAGGAGTACCATTTCCAGGAAGAGCCTGTTCACGCCCGGAGGGCGTTCTTGACGGGGGGGTACTGTCACGGTCCACGCCGTGACATCCAGTCTGCCAGACGTGGTCGCTCTGGAAGCGCCCGATAGGGGATTTGAACTGTGGTCCTTCTGGACCGTGTCCTGCTAGTTTCCCTCTGAGCCATTTCAGGACTTTGGATAACTCCTGTTTGTTCTTGTATTGCCTGCAGCACTAGGGGTCTGGACTTCACTTAAGGCTCTGATCTGTCAGTTACTCTCCAGCTGAATCTGATCCTAATTAACAGGATATAAAAGCCTGCCTCACCCTGGGAGGGGTGTCAGTTCATTGACTCTGGTTCTCTTGTTTGGTTCCTGTTACTCTGTACCTGCGTTCCAGTGATTCTTGTCTATTCTGGCTTCTGACCTTGGCTTTCCTCCTGGACTACTCTGACCTCTGGCTTCCCTGATTTTGGCTTCCCTTGACCACGCTTCTGCTTATCCCTGCTGTACTGAGTCTTGGAGCACTTTTCCTGGAAAGCCCCCGTGCACAGACTCACAGGCCAGGTGGCGTCTTACCTGGTCACCCTGGTCTGTGTCTACTTTGCAAGGGTGAGCGTATAACTCTGCGAGCTGGACTCCCTATCAGGTAAGACTCCGTTACAACTAGGAGGGAAGCCTCTGTCGTCGGACATATGTCTTTAAATTTTGGTCTTTGGTGCTTTGGTATCCAAGCTAAGGCAGCGAGTGGAAAGCCGCCTGTTTGGGCAGTTTCTATATGACTCCATGGGGGTGGCATTACGTGGTGGAAGGATGTAATAATTGGGCTTATCATCGCCGCATCATGATATTTTGCTATTTCCGGAGCCCCCATGCCACCTTCTTTAAAGGGTCTATACAGAATGTCTGCCGCTACTCTGGGCTTTTTCCCCTCCCAAATGAATGTATTAAGCACACTTTGGACCTCTTTAAGATAGCGTTGCGGAATTTTGATATTGAGGGTTCTGAAGAGATATTGCATTTTTGGTAATATCATCATTTTTACTGCAGCTATTCTGCCTGTCCAGGAGATGTATTTGCCCTTCCAGTTATGTATTTGTTGTCGGATTTCTTTGAGCAGTTTTACGTAGTTAGCTTTGTAAAGTCTGTGTGGTTTGCATGTGAGATGTACGCCCAGGAACGTGAGATGATCGTGTCTCCAGTCATATGAGTATTCCTTCCGTAGCAAGTCCTGTTGTGTATTGGTTAGATGAAAGCCCATAGCCTGTGTCTTTGTTACATTTAGTTTATAGTATGTACTGTCGCTAA